GTGTGTTTTTGACATTTTGTTTTTTGTTTTTAAAATTTTATGTCTTGAGCTTTTTTTTTTAAATACAATAAAATAAGTGGTAAATAATCGCAATAATAATTGTAAACAAAGTGTGTTTGGGATCTCCCAGCTGCTGCAGGGGGGGTGGGTGCAGGCAGAGGGGAGCGCAGCCTGAAATCATTGCTGTTTCAAAGCCTATCCCCCCATTTCATAGAATCGCAGAATATCAGGAGTTGGGAAGGACCTTGAAAGCTCATCCAGTCCAACCCCTGCCAGAGCAGGATCATCAGACCAGGTCACACAGGAACACGTCCAGGCTGGTCTTGAATGTCTGCAGAGAAGGAGACTCCACAACCTCTCTGGGCAGCCTGCGCCATGCTCTGGCACCCTCACACTGACAAAGTTTTTCCTCATGTTCAGCTTGAACCTCCTGTGCTCCAGCTTGGGACCATTGCCCCTTGTCCTGGCATTGGACATCACTGAGCAGAGCCTGGCTCCTTCCTCCTGACACTCGCTCTTTACAAATCTATGAACATGAATGAGGTCACCCCTCAGTCTTCTCTGCTCCAAGCTAAAGAGCCCCAGCTCCCTCAGCCGCTCCTCATAAGCTCCACTCCCTCCATTGCCTTTGTGACTCTGCGCTGGACTCAGAATTTCCTTCCTTATCATTGTGTCCCCTTCCTGCCTCTGGGCCATGCATCCCAGCCATCAGCCTGGACATCCTAGCCTTGCTCATTTCCTTCAGGAGCTTCTTAAATCTTCCCAAAAGGCATAAAATTGTCGCTCCCCAATCTGCTTCAGCCCGTCACACCCGCCTGTCTCAAGGAAGGCTGGTGAACGATGTCTTGAGTATGACACAGACCCTCCTGAGAAGCTGACATCCTGCTTCCGCCGCTGTTTATCTTGATGCAGCAATCTCCATGATCACAGGTGATGCTGCCGAGAAAGGTCCCCAGGCGCTTCACCCGAATGGAAACAACGCGAAGGCACAGCTGGTGCTAGGGTGGAGCTCGCTGCTGTGGGTGATGAGGGACAGGAGGGGGCCATCACATGCGACAGGGCTGGGGGATGACTGGGATGGGGGCTCTGTGGGCAGGGTGCTGCCTGGAAGTTCCTCTTGGGCACCAGGAGGGTGTGAGATTGCACCAACTGGCACCAGGTCCGGCCCCAAACTGCTCTGAGTGCTGGCAGGGTGCTGAGACCCAGAGCAGCAGCAGCTCCTGATTTCTGTGGGCTTTAGCAGCACTGCTCACTGGAGGTGGTCCAGGAACGCTGGAGGGTGACAGAGCCCTGAACAGGCTGCCCAGAGATGTTGTGCAGTCTCCTTCTCTGGAGACATTCAGAACCCACCTGGACGTGTTCCTGTGTGACCTGGTCTGGGTGATCCTGCTCTGGCAGGGGTTGGACTGGATGAGCTTTCCAGGTCCCTTCCAACTCCTAATATTCTGTGATTCTGATTCTGTGAACAGCACCCCGCTGCCATGCTGAGGTGGCGGTGGCCTCATGCCAAACCTATGTGGTACCTTCAAATCGCAGTTACTGCCCAGGCCCTGCAGATTTCTGCTCACTAAAGGAGCAGTTTCGTGCCTCTGCTCCATCCCTCCGCTTACTTGCTGCTTACTCAGCCCCCGGGACCGCTGCCTTTCCTGCAGGGTCAGATGTTGTCGCTCATGCAAGCTGTTTGCAGGGGCCTTCCTAATTTCTGAGAAGTATCTGAAAGACCTCAACGCTCAGCATGCTTATTTGCAAATATTATTAACCATTTCCTCTTCTTGCCCAGCCACGTCGCCTCCTGCCTATGTCAGACCCACAGATGTCAGTTCGGTTAAACCAACAGGGGAGGGATCCTGAGGAAGCTGTGAGTTTCTCTTCCTCAGCATCTCTTTGTGGTCATTTGTGTTCCTCATCTCATTTGGGAAGCTTTGCTTTCCCTGGGCTTTGAAGACATTCAGCTCTGGAATTCAGTTGGCTCCATCTGAGATGTTTGCTCATTGCTTTCTTCTTCATCTTCCAATTTTTCAGTGCTCCTTAAGCACCCCAGATGCTTTTAAGCCATTTTGGAACTGACCCTCCATCCTTTGAGGTGACTGCTCAGGTTGATGATAGCTGTGTGCACTGATGACTGCAGGAGACTGGGGCCTCGGCCAGATCCCAGCTTCCCAACACATCGAACCAGCCTTCTATTGGGGGAAAAAAAAGGACATTTGTGCTTCAGTGAAGTGGGGTGACATGTGCTTGCTGAAGTTCTTGGCTCCTGGTATTGAGGAGCAGACTGTTTTCTCATGTATTCCTCTTTCTCCTTCCCTTCTAGCCCTTCTAGCTGACTGGAGCCAGGCTTTTTCCCTTGGTGCTGGAGAAACTGGTGCAAGAGCCAGCGAGAGCTGCATTGGTCTGTGCGCAGACAGGGCACAAATCCTGGCCAAAGCCCGGGGGCTGCTGCCGGGCCACGGCTATGCTCCTCCACCATGGCAGCACCCATGGCATGTGCCGGACTGGGGCACGGCACCACTGCTCATCTCGCTTTCCCCTGCAGCAGCTTCCTATCAGTGAGACTGAGCTTTTCTTTTATTCTTTTCATCCTTTAAAATATTTTTTTTTTCCAAAAAAGGGGGAAAAATCCCTTGTTCTCTCTCTCACGAGCTTTCCATTAACTCCTGGTTCACCCTCCCCTGTGGTTTCTGCTGCACGCTCGGTGGCTCTGCAAGCTCCCTGGCACTTCCTGGCCACACATGGCCTCATCTGGCACCCTGAGCAGCCTGGAAAGGCTCCGGTGTCAGTGCTGATCTCCAGGCTCCTGTGGAGCAGTAAGGGAAGCGCTGGGGCATGAGTTTCCAAAGGAAGCATCTGAAAACTTCGCTGTATGGTCTGCATGTAGCCACCACTGGTTTCTAGTGGATGTGGCAATCTCCCTGCCCTGGATACGAACTTACGCCGTGTTTCGAGTGTGCATTGGAAAGTTTGAGCAATTCATGCTATGATTTTAATCAGAGCCCTCTTGTGCAGAGCGGGGAAGATGAGCCGGTTAACTGCTGATCCCTGGCTTGGTGAATTGCATCTTCAGTGGTGATACCCATCACATCTTCCGCCTCTAGAAACCAAAACACGTTGCAAGTGCCAAAAAAACCTCCCCACACCTGGCCCGAATGCCTGGTGTCACCATTTGTGGACACAAAGCCTTGAGGTGGAAAAGCCTCCTTGCTGTGCGCTTCCATATTTTCTGTAATTCGGTTTAGTTTAGTTAAGTTTTTTATTTTAATTAGAGTCCAGGAAATTGCAAAGGACGAGGCAATGTTTGCCTCGGAGCCCACCGGCACCATTTGCACATGGTGGAGAGCGCTCCCCTCGCCACCCTGCCAGGAAAAGGTGACAAGGAGGGGACAGCCCCCAGGCTTGCTCTGCCATCCAAGCAGGGCCAGAAGCCCTGCCAAGTCCATGGCTGAAAGCGAGAAGTGAGCAAGCCCCATCCCCACAGCTAATTTCTGAAAGCCCGGAAAATAATGAAATCATTGTGAGCACCACATCCTTCACCCCAATTATTAATTTTCCCCTGACACTTTCCAAATTTCCAGGGCACCAAGGCAGTGTTTGAGAGAAGCGGAGGAGCCAGCCATGTTGTGCTTTCACCGCTGGTTATTTCCTATGCGAGTATTAATCAGTGTGGTGAGCGAGGAACATCACCGGCAGAGAAATTAAAGAAGTCTGCTGCGAAGGTCACCGCAATTACAGCACCCTGAGGCATCAGCCCGCCAACAGGCACCCATGGCTCCTCAGACCCTGCCCAGTGCCACATGTCCCCCAACACCCCACTGCCATGGGCACCTGGTGGGAGCACCCATGGGTGCTGGGAAACCCAAACCAGCCCTTTCATTTATGGGCCAGACTTGGAGCTGAGGACGCATCCCCTGTGGCCCCCACCTGCTCCATCCCCAGGAGCTTTCCCCAAAAAGGGTGCAGGCTTACAGGTGCCTGTCGCCCCTTCTCGGTGGCTGCGTGGGGAGGGGAAGGGGCCAGGCTCAGCTCAGCTGATCCCTGCCTCCGTGGGGAGGAAGTGGGGGTGGAAGACAGCCCGGGTTTCCCTCTGGGGCAGAGATGGGCACGTTTCATTTCCATCACAGCCCCTGCCGTGTGAACCAGAGACTGAGCTGCTGCTGTGAGGAAGGAAGCACGAAGAGAGCCGGGGGCGGCACAGCACAGCGCGACACGGCACACCTGCCCGGGCAGAGGACAGGCCTCCTCACCATGGCTCCCAGTGCCTCAAGGACAATGCGGGGCAGCGTGGAGGTGGCCCTGACCGGCCTCTACGCCCTCCTGCTGTGCTGTGGCCCCACACTGGCCGGCTGCCGCCGGGGGAGGGTCCACAGGGCGGGGCGGGCCCTAGCGCGGTGCGGTCCTTGGCACAACCTGTGTTGTTCGCAGCTGGTAGAAAATGTCTAAGAACTGAGAGCTTTGTAGTTAAAAATAGCTCTGGCATCGAGAAGGCAAAAAACTCAGAGCTTTTGGGTACGTGCCGCTGAAGCAAGGGAAATGGGGATGCTTGGGGTAGAAATAGATTTAAAGGGTGGAGAAGGGGACAGATCCCCAGCCTGTGGTGCCGGTGCTGGGGCCACATTGTGGGCACACTGGTCACGGTCAGGATTTGGTGTTGAGGTGCTGGATTTGCCAGCACTGTATGAGGTCTGGGGGTTTTCTGCTTTTACGGCTTTGGGCTGTGCCTCCTGGTTTGGGCTTGACCCTGAGGGAGCCGGGGTCCTGTGAGTGATTTTACTGAGGGTGAAATTTGGGGGAGAAGGGAAGGTGGAGGGGAAGGGCTGAGCCTGGATAGAGCGAGCGAGACCCCTGGTGAAGCTGTGTTCCCTCTTCCTCACAGCCCAGCTCTTTCTTTGGTGGCTTTGGGTGATTTCTGCCCTGAGGGTGGGCACAGGGCTGGGTGTCCCTCGGAGCTGGACCTCTGGTACTGGGAAGATGGGAAACATATAAACCCAACTGCTGTCAGAAGTCCTCCGAGCACTTCATTCATTGCTGGCAGCAGGACTGGGTAGGAAGCAAAGTCCTGAGCCTGCTGAATATTTCCTGTTAAGAAACCCAGAACACTGCAAAAATTTGTGTCTCTCAGTACGGGCACTGTCACAGCCCGTGAGACCTGGGGCACTTATCTCTCTCTTACCTCCTGTTTGGTCTCATCTCTCATTTGTCAGACCAGTTTCCTATCTAATCCTGTATCTATTCAACGAATCCCAGTTCCTTCACTGGTTGGTGATGCTGCAGTCATGGTCCTACAGCCTCAGACCAGTGCTGGAGGGACGGAAGGGACTTACTAACTCTGCCTGTGAGCCCAGTGGCAGTTTTTGAAAAGAGAAGATAAATTTCTTAACAGCAGGGAGTTTTCAAAGCATTGGCAGTTTGAACTGCTTGGTCAGACAACCTGTGTGAAAAATGCTTCCTCCTGCTTTTTATTGCTCTGAATAAAAGTTAATGCAGGGCATGCGAATGGGCTGCACCATGGGCACTGCCCCGGCCTGGGACTTGGTCCCTCTGTTCTCTTTCGGAGGCAACATCAGTTGGAGGAAGAATGACTTAGACATTAAAATACATTAAAATACAGCATAGATTTTAAAATAAAGCATAGATTTAAAAAGAATATGACCTCCAAAGTCTATTCTCCCCAGTACAGGTGTTATGGGTTAATTTTAGGTAGCCCAGAGCACAGTTTGCTCTGCTGCTACCACTTTACAGTAGTTCCTACCCGCGAGGGTCTCCCCCTGGCCGGCAGACACACATTTGGGATTGGAGAGATGTACCTTCCTTGAGGGTGAAACAGCTGAGGAACATGTGAAGCCTCTGGGTTTGGGACGTAGGAGCCCAACACTTCTCCCTGGGATGGGGCTGTAGCAGGGGCCACGGCGGGCTCTCACCCTCTTTGCATGCCTGGTTCCTGCACAGGGGTTACGGCTGTGTCCGAGACCTGTGCCCACTGTAACCATGTCTGTGCCCTCTGTAACCATGTCTATTCCTTGTGTCCTTTCTCTCAAACAGTGACCTTATTCCCAACCGTGTTAACTCTCCCTGCGGGTGACTCAGCCACCTTCTTCTGCAACATCTCCATGGAGAATGACTCTGGCTCAGAGTACAGCCTCAATTGGTACAAGGAGACCAACCACAGCCAAGCCCAAAAAATCGCTGAGATCAGCCACAACAACCCCCAGACGAAGACAGAGAAGTACCTGCTCACAAACCACACTCCTGTCTTCAAGATTGAGATCCTGAACCTTCACCAGAATGACTCAGGCTCCTACTACTGCGGGCTGATCGCCTTCTTTGAACCCGATAAAGTGATGGAGAGCAGCCGGTCCCAGTTGGTGGTCACAGGTCAGCCTGGGGACTGAGCTGATGGGGGCAGGTCATCGGGGTTGTCTTGTGGTACTGTGGCCCCCAGGCACGCTGCAGCCCCAGGGCACAAGGTACCCCACTGTGGGAGGACCTGGTGTGGGTCAGGAGAGCACAACACTGTCCTTTTCTCTATCCTTTCCATGCGTGGTTGAGGCCCAGGGACACAGGCTGTCCTCCCCCATTCCCCATCTCCTTTTTTTGGTGACAGGCCTTGTGTTTGGGGTGAAGACCAGGGTTCAGACTGCTTGAACACCCATGCTCTAGGAGGGTCTCAGAGCCTCATGGTGTGGGAGACTGAAGCTGGTGTGGGATCATCCTCACCACTCGCAATGGGAAGGAATAGGACGTGACCCAAACTTCCCCCATTACAGCCCAAATTCATCTCCTGGAGGGATGGAGGGTGTGGCAGTCTGCCTTGAGCTGAGCCCTTTCCAAGGACAGCCCCTGTGTTCCCCATTGACTTTCCCAGGGACTATAGAGCCCATTTTACACTCCTGACCTGCTGTTTTGTCCCCCTTTTTTTTGGATGGCTCTTGCAGCAGCCCCTGAGAAGACGAATGCCACTGATGAACCCGAGATGGAGGAAGGCAACCCCCTGGACCACATCAAGGCCGTGGTCCTGGGCATCCTGCTGCTGGCTGGGGCAGTTGTGCTGCTGATCTTAGGCTACCTCACCTTCACACACAGGAAAGGAGGTGGGTTCAGCTGAGGGGGCTGGGGTCTACCAGGTGACCTGATGGGTGATGCCCACCCAGGAAACCCAGCTGGAATCTGGGGGTAGCCCCTGGGGTACATGGACTGGTTCAACTCAGCTGTGGCATGTCCCCATGGGACCGCTAGCTCCATGCCTAAGGGAGAAGTGTGCTTTGTGCCCTGCTCACCCTTTGTAGAGCCCCCAGACCACACTCTGTGGCTCTGTGCTGCTCATTAGAGTGCTGCATTAATTAATTAACTGCATCATTAATGCTGGACAAGTTCCTCCCATGCATCTTGAACCTTTAGTGGACCTCAGAACCTCGTCCCTCCACTGCAGCACTGGACACTGCCTCAGCCACACCTCAAGCACACAGAGGGGACTCCAATTAAACCCTAGACCGTGGACTGATATCTCACTTGTCCTTGTGTTAGACCCTGAGTGGACGAGGAGGAAGTGTGGTGCAATGGTTGTGGTGTCCAGTGTTCCCCTAGGTCGGTGGGGCTGGATCAGCCCCAGATGTTCATGCTGTCTTGGCACACACAAGCATCTTCTAACCACAAGTGTTACTTTGCAGATGCACAGAAATCACCAAGTGAAAACAAACCAGGGGTGAGTTTTCCATCTCTGACGCCCTGCAGGGGAGCATCGTGGCATTGCTGGGGTGCAGAGGGTGCAGGGCCTCCCTTTATCAGCCCTTCGCAGGCTCCTTGCTTCTCCCGCCTTCTCTGATGCTGCTTGATCTTTTCTGCACAGCTACAACTGCTTTTCTGCACCTGCACCACAGCCCCATCACAGAATCAAAATATCTGCCTGAGATAGGATGTGACCTTTCTCATCCAACTCTTGCTCAAAGCAGAGTTATCTTTGACAGTGGACTGCGTTGCTGTAGAAAATGAGCGGAAATGTTCCCCCCCTCAATGTATTAAGCTAAAATTTCTTTTGCTGTAGTGAACACTTCTTTACTTTCTTCCTTTTGCCAGGCACCACTGGGAGGTGGTCTGGCTCCATCTTTCCTCTGAGTAGGTCCCCCTCTGCTCTCCCCTCCCCAGGTCTGTACATCCTTCTGATTTGTATCACTCTTGCCCTCCTGGGATGCTTCAGAGCTGTTTTTGGCACTTGCTACAAAAGGGAGCTTGTGATGGGGATGGTGGGTGCCTCTGAATGGAAAATAAATCCTTCCAATGGGGTTTCCTTGCAGAAGGAAGAGAAGCCCCCCGAGGTGTTTGTACCCACTGTGGATTATGGTGTGCTGGAGTTTCAGTGTGACCTGTGCACCCAGCTGCCCCCTGAGACCCGTCCGGTTGACCAGACTGAATATGCCACCATCATCTTCCCAGAGGAGAAACCCGTGACACCAGAGCGGGGAAAGAAACACCAGGATGAGAGGACTCGACAGCTGCAGCCAAAGCCCTGCTGAGGGCTGAGGTCTCTCCTCGCTGCGGGGTGCGGGCAGGGACAGACTGCCCCGGCCCCTTGCTCCCACCCCAGTTTGCAGTGGGGAAAAACTCCAGGACCAGAGTGACAGCGGCACTGGAGTGGACATCAGACAGCCCTGGCTATGGTGGGATGGTGGCCATGGGGATGAGGAAGGTCCCTGATGGACTCTATGTTGTGCCTCTTCAGGGCAGGGAGGATGGGATGGGGCAGAGCAGCGATGGGTCCGTGCCAAAGGTGATTTACATTATTCCTTGGTTTTCTACCTCCACCCGGGGCTCTCTGGAGCGGCCATGCTGCTTCCCTTTCCTGGGTCTGACCCAACTGGCAAAGCACAACCACAGGAGGACATGTCGGAGACTGGAGCTGGAGTGGATCCTGGAAGATGCTGCTCCTTGGAGCTCGGGGCTGATGGCTTCTCCTCACCCAGAGCAGAGACTGCCCTGAGTACCACTATTTAAAACACCCCTGGGAAGCAGGCGGCTGGTTTTCCTCCTGTCTCCAGGCACTTTCCTCTGTGAAAGGGGAAATCTACCCGCCGTGTCCCTCCCACCGCAGGTGGGAGCCAGATGTGTCCCTGGGGGGGATGAATAAAGGGTTTCATGTCCGGGGCGTTTGTTGACTCGTGATGGCAAGCGCGTGGGCAGGCAAATAACGGCTCTCGGCAGCGTGCAAGCAAGAGCCGGGAGGCGGCGGTGCCTGTTGTGGTTCCTGGGCCTCTCC